TAAACCTGGACTAAAACAGGACCAAACCGAGTCTATAATAGGACTGAAACTGGTCCCAAACAAGATCATGGAAATTTGACTAAACCAGGTTTAAATCCAAAATACTCAGGACTAAAAATGAACATAATCAAGGCCTAGTTTAACAGGACTAAACCAGGACTAAACCAGGACTAAACCAGGCCAGACGATGCGTTTACACATCCACAATCACCACAGCAAAACTGAAACTAAACCTGGACTAAAACAGGACCAAATCTAGTTTATATTTGGATTGAATCTGGTCCCAAACAAGACTGTGGAAATGTGACTAAACCAGGTTTAAATCTAAATCTTAACTAGAATATTAAACGAACCAAACCAAGATCAAGAAGTATATTTTTATTTACAAAATAATAAATAGGCCAGGATAAACCAGGACTAAACCAGGACTAAACCAGGACTAAACCAGGACAGACGATGCGTTTACACTCACACAATCACCACAGCAAAATTGGAACTAAACTGGGACTAAAACTGGACTGGATGAAACTGGTCCCAAACAAGACCATGGAAATTTGACAAAACCAGGGACTAAACCAGGACTGAACCAGGACAGACGATCTGTTTACACTCACACAATCACAATATCAAAATTGGAACTAAACCTGGACTAAAACAGGACCAAATGTAGTCTAGACTAGGACTGAAACTGGTCCCAAACAAGACCATGGAAATGTGACTAAACCAGGACTAAACTCGGGTTTAACTCGGGTCTAAACAACAAAACGAAACGATCCAAACTCAGGTCAAATATTGATCGGCGGGACTCGGGGGTTTGGCGCGTCTGTTGCGCGTCTGTTGCGTAAACGAGTCGTGGATCGCGAGGCTCGTGAGGCTCGTGGGGCTCGTGAGGCTCGTGAGGCTCGTGGAGTGATTTTTGGAGGGTCATTCATCAGGTTCACGAGCGCGTTGGAAATGAAGCCCACTCCGTTAAACCGGCGCCGCTCGTTGATTGGTCTGAAGGTCGCTCGTCCGCGCACGCGCATCGGGACGGTTCCATTCGGATGATTGACGTTTGCGTCCGTGCGTAAAAATCCCCCCGCGGGCACGAGCACAGGCGCGCGCACGGGGGGTGGTCACAGAGTCAGAAAAACTCCGAGCAGCGGAGACGTGATCAGATTTGACCCACACGTCTGAAGAGTAAAGCTGCACTGCGGAGATTTCACCGTCTGCTCGTGTCCGTCACCTGAATGTTCCACACTGAGGCATTATTCACACACAGCAACGACCGGAGAGTTAAACATTCAGGGTGAAATATTTCAGAGTTGTTTTTAACACACAAACAGTTTTATTTTAACAGTTTGAGAGTTAAATGTTTGCTGGAGTTGGGGTTATTTGCCAGAGTTGATTTGGTTGGAGTTAATTCAACTTCCACTAGTGTTAATTTGGCTCCTTCCACCCACCACTTTAAACTCCCACCACAGAAGACCAGTTTGAACCAGATTTTTTCATAATTTCATTTTAAATGAACTCAAATAAAGAGTAAAAATAAAACTCCTCTGTGTGTTGTTGAGTTAAATCAGGATAACTCTACAAAGTGTTATCTGTTTACTCTCAAAACGTTCATATAACTCTGATTTTCAGGGTTAAAAAAGAGGAACTTTGGTCCAGTGTTACTTAATGAACATTTTCAAAAGTGTTAAATTAACTCTAGAACAGACTGGACTCAGAGTCAGAGTCAATTTTAACACTTTTTGTCGTGTATTTGTCTTGCAGTGATTCAGCTCCACACGGTTTTGTTGCTAAAACATTAAAAATCTTTCGTTCTTACGATGAGTGTGACGCCTCTCCGCAGATCTGACTCGTAATTTGGCCCGTCGGCATCGTCGTCGTGGAAACCTTTGACAGTTGCCATGGCGATAAATCATTTAAAACCGTCACAGCGATTTGAATTTCACCGAATTTCACACAGACGAAGACGAAGCTGAAACGTGTTTAATGCCACAGTGTGAAACACTCCAGGTCAACATCAGCATCTCCATGGAAACGAGTAGAAAAGCGCCGGAGTGCAGCTTTAACCCGCAGCACTGACCCTCTGTTTTTTTTTTTTTTTACCGGAGAATTTTCAGTCCGAACGTCAAAACTCCTCGTCGCGTTTCTCGGGTCGTAAATCCGAACTGACCTGAGCTCCGCGCGTGACGTGACCCGCGCCGTGATTCGAGGCTCACGCGGGGGGGGGGTGTTCGGTGAGAATCTCGCTTCTCCCCCACGTCACATCAGCACGACGTCCCGCGGCGTGAACGCGATTTTTTTTGTTTTGTTTTGTTTTGTTTTCCCACACGAGACCCGAGAGGAGCGCGCGTCCTCGTGCGTAAAACCAACAGGCCCAAAGTGGCACCGAGACGAGCCGAGGAGCCAGGGCGGGTTTAACTCAAGGTTTATGCACCGATACACACAGAAAACACAGAAAACATCGAATAAAACACGAATTAAACTCCAAAAAACAATCTCTAGATGAGTTAAAATGACTTAAATTAAAATTATTTCACTTTATTTGAGTCGATTCAGCTTGACAAGTCAAATCATCCACCAAAGGAATAAGTGTGTTTGTCTTAATTCAAGCAATATCACATTTTGTTTCTTATTTTAACTGCAAAAAGTTCTTGTTTTACTTCTTGTTTTAGAAGCATTTTCATATTTTAAGCACAAAAAGTCTGATTCCGCTGCAGATGGTTTTACTCGTCAAGTGAAATTGACTCAAATCGTGATCAAACTTTGTTAATTCAAGTCGTCTGAACTTGGTTAGATTGTAGTTTTTGTGTTGTATTTTAAAACAGAATTACTCATAAATGATTTTACATTTGTAACGTGGACAGGACAGAGTTTCCCACGCGTTTCTGTGAGATTATCTGACCAGAAATAAAAGCGTATTTTAGAACAAACTGTGTAAAAAGAAGCGCAAAACGAAAACGCGTTTTAATGAGATTTAAATTGATTATTTTCAGACTAATGAGCGGTCACGTGAGGTCAGAAAAACGCTGGAACATGTGAAGGATGTGACTTGAGTCTGTTTCTGTTCACGCGCAGCGAAACCAAAGACAAACCGAACTGTTTTCAAAGCTCCAAGCGCGGATTCTTAGAAAACTGGACGCGAGGTGACACGAAGGAGCGTCAAAAAGTGGAGCAGTGGTGCGCAGTGGAGCGGAGGAGCGCGGTGGTCAGGCTCTTCTGCTCCTCCTCAGGCTCTTCTCTCCAGGCTCTGCTCTTGTGGCTCTGCTCTCGTGTGATGTGGCGCCGCAGACAGAGCAGGCCTTTCAATTAGCCACGGCTGTCAGCGCTTTTTTAAACGTGCCCAGAGCGCGACACGTTCCAACAGAGCCGCGCATTCACCGCTCTCCCCCGCTCCATGAACCCCGGCCCGGGCCCCCGCGAGCGCCGAGCCGGCTCCCGTGTCACCAGCGCGGACAGAGGAGCCCTTTAAACCCGCGGGGAGGAGCAGAGGAGCGGAGGAGCAGGAGCGTGTCTGTGTGGAAAGGCGATTTTTAAAAAAAAGAAAAAAAAAGAAAAGAGAAACCACACAACTATAGGATCTAGTTTCTGTCTGCGCGTCCAAGTGGAACGGCGGAGGAATTGCCCGGTGCGTTAGCTCACTCACGGGTGACCGGCTGCAGCGGGCAGGGGGCGGAAATCTCCAAAACAAGAACAAGAAAAGAAGCTCCGGTGTGTTGTTTAAAAATGACTTACTTTGGAAACGATCCCCGCGCGTAAAAAGCCGCGTCCACCGCGCCTCGCCGCTCCTCCGTGCGCCGCGCGTCCTCCGCCGCCGCCGCACAGTGAACGCGGCGGCGGCTGCTCGTGCGCTTTTTAAAAATCCCCACAAAGTAAATAACAACCGCGGATGACGATAATAGCAAGGTACCAAGTTCTTGTTACGGGGGAAAAATAAGGGTTAGAAAATTGAAACTAAACGCTGCGCTTAGACAACCATTTTTGATAAGAGGATAATTGGAGCGACAGTGGCGTGTAATTAGGCCGTAATTTATGCTATATCCACGTTTTTATTCCCCCTCCCAAAATACAACCAAACCATAATCATCACCGCGCGATTGTTCTTCGTTTTCCTGCGGCAATTTGGGCGAAGTGCGGCCGCTAATCAAACACGCGCTCTTGATTGGACCATTATTATTTTATGCGTAATATTCAAAGTAGTCCAAATACTGTGCAAGCTTTGTTTTTTTTTCCTATTTGTAAGAGCCTAAGTATAATTGGCACATATCGGGGAGCCTCGTGTTACAAGTGGAATAAAGACGCTGTCAGTTTATCCGGGTATCCACCCTTCTATCTGCAAAATAACCTATTGTACCTCCGGGGCTTTTGTTACGCATGCGTGACACTCACCCGCCTGGAGTTTGTCTGGAGATACTCATATGGGCACGAGACAATTGGCCAAATGTGATCAATGAGAAGTGTAAATTTAGAAAAAAAAAAAAAAAAAAAAAAAAGGGGGGGGGGGGGGGGGGGACAGTTTTAGCCTAAAAAAAAAAAAAAAAAGTACGGTGTCTGCGCGCGGACTGTGTGAGGAAAACGAGTCTGCGCCAATTTTCGAGCAAAATCTGAGTTTGTATTTAATGAACTGTGATGCAAACAGGAAATTGCAACTATTCTACATTTGTAAATATTTAAAATTGTGGTTTATGTTTTGAATTAAAATCATGTAAAACAAAACCTCAAACCAACGCGTCCCCATTCAAATATAATTGGGGGAATTAGAAAACCAAATCAAAGCGCATTGTGAGCCGCGCGTAATTTGAGGGTTTGGGTCAAAAACAAAACGGTAAAAAACGCGGCAGCGGCGGCGGCGGCGGCGTGCGCACGTCCCGCGGCACGAGACGTCTGCTCCACGCGCCGTGTCTGAATGCGCGCGGAGCTGCGGTTGGTGGGAGCTGGTGAGGCGGGTTAACTCCACGCAGCTCAAGTCTCCGCCAGGCGCAGAGCTGTGTGCTGATGACGTGGGGCTCGGGATGACCAATCGGGAGGCGCTGCCCTTTCGAGACAAACCATTTTACTTGTGCATCAAAGTCTGGAAGCGAGGGCTCAATTTTAACAGAAACCACCTTAAAATCTGTCGTCTTAACTTTACCTTTTTGCCGCTACGTTGAGTGAGACCATCAGCGGGCGCGAAAAGCGGGCGAAAGGGGGGGACGGCGCGTGTTAATAGGACAATATCTGTGCAGAGGAGTGAGGAAGTGAGGTCTCGAGCGGAGGAGAGGGGGGCGAGGAGAGCTCTCAAGGCAGAAAATTCGATGATGACCATGACTGCGATGGCTGACGGGCTGGAGACGCAGGACACTTCCAAATCCGCCTTCATGGAGTTTGGACAGCAGCAGCAGCAGCAGCAGCAGCAGTCGCACTCGCAGCAGAGCTCACCGTCCATGTCCGGAGCTCACTACCCGCTCCACTGCCTCCACTCCGGCTCTCACCCGCACCACCAGCCCGACGGCGGCAGCCCCTACAGCGGCACCGCCAACTCCTACAACCGCTCCCTCGCCTACCCGTATGTGAGCCACGCGCACCACAGTCCCTACCTCCCGTCCTACCACAACAACGCCGGGGCGCAGACGCGGCTGGACGGCGCAGGTAAGGCCGCCCCGCTCCACACGCCGCCCCGCGCGCCGTGTCCCCCCCCCCCAGATCCAAACCCGAAATCGGTGCGTAAATGCGGCGCGTCGTCTGCGGTTCAGTGGCGCACGGAGCGCGCCAGACCCGAACTAGAAGCTGCCTTAAAGCCGCAGTGAGCTCCTGGTGGAAATTAGGCACCGCTGAATGTTGTAATTAGCATTTAATTGACGTGTCATTACCAGCAATATCCTAAATATGACAGCGTACGCGGACTGCTGGCGGCGCTACAGCCAACGCCAATCACGTCCTGAAAACGCGCGCGTGTTTTCGTGGCTGTGGGCCGCGCGTGGAGGCTGGAGGCTGGAGGCTGGAGGGTGGACGGACGCGCGCGCGGCTGTGGAGTGATGACACTGTTTGTTTTTGTTCCAGAGCAGCAGAAGACGACGGTGATTGAGAACGGGGAGATTCGGTTTAACGGGAAGGGCAAGAAGATCCGCAAACCCCGCACCATCTACTCCAGCCTGCAGCTCCAGGCGCTCAACCACCGCTTCCAGCAGACGCAGTACCTGGCGTTACCCGAGCGAGCCGAGCTGGCCGCGTCCCTGGGGCTCACGCAGACGCAGGTAGGACACGAGTGGAGACGTGGGATAATTACTAATCAGCTAATCTGCTGTTTTCCATTTGAGTGCAGTGATTGTGCGCACTCCAGTCTTTTTTTCTTTTCTTATTTTTATTTTATTGATTTTTTTTTTTCAATTTTATTTAGTTGTGTTGCATATTTTTGTTACATTTATTATTAATTTTAAATTTATTTAACAGCAAATTCCTGTGAATGAAATTAATGTGATTATAATTTCAAATTTTTTTCAGTTTGCGTGTTTGAACCATTTTTGCAATTTATTTAATTTCATGTTTATTTTATATTATATTTCTTGGTTTATAATATATAAAAACCTCAATTTATTTCTAGATTCACCACAAAGAACTTAAAAAGCCTGGCTCATTAGTATTCACTTGTTTCTATTAATTATTTATCTCTCCCCGTGCGCAATTACGCATGCCGACTTTTACGCACCTTTCTCCTTGTAAGCGCGGTCATTACAGGATTGTATTTTTCGCTTGGCCGCCCTCCCTCTCGTGTAACACCGCTTCTCTTTTCTCCTCCTCGGCCCCAGGTGAAGATCTGGTTCCAGAACAAGAGGTCAAAGTTCAAGAAGCTGCTGAAGCAAGGCGGCAACCCCCACGAGAGCGAGCAGATCCCGGGCTCCATGTCGCTGTCCCCGCGCTCCCCGTCCATCCCTCCCATCTGGGACGTGACCGCCTCGTCCAAAGCCATGCCGGCCAACAGCTACATGGCCGGGTACTCCCACTGGTACTCGTCCCCGCACCAGGACTCCATGCAGAGGTAGACGCGCGGCCGGGCCTCCACTGACACTCTCGCCCTGCTTTGGAGAGGCCTTTGCGCATCGCGTTCGGCCCGATCGTAGCTACAGTTTTGGGTGGACGGAGGAGCGGCCACGGAAGCGCGGTCTGGATGCTGAGGAGGCTTCGGGGGCGCGCACACGGACGGAGCCTTTGCACGTGGCCGCGCAGTGGGCATCCTCCGCTCTGCTTCGCTCGTGTTGGAAGCCAAATCCAGCGGCAGAGACACTGAAGCCACATCGGGCGTAAAAACAAACACGGACTGTGACGCGGTGTTGGACTCTTTGGTTGTTCCTTTCTTCGACATGCAAATGTGTCTGTGTGTAAATAGCTATGCCTTTTGGAGCTGTACATACACTTTTTATGTTTTGTCAGATTGAGTAAAGCGTGACTCCCAAACACAACGCCTGCTTTTGTTGCCTGACTCCCCCCCGCACTCAGCTCGGTATTCTCCGGGCCTTTTCCCGAGCGTCGTATTGGGCCAACATCACATTGTCGCGCCGCCGTTTCCCGCCGCGGGGCCTGCAGCGCGGCGCAAACACGCGGCGGAACACGAGCTAATGACACGGTGCGGTGAAAGCCCCAAACACGGCGCGCGCGGACGGAGAATGAGGCTGAGGAAATGAACTTACCCGCTCCGCCGGCGCGCTTTCACCCCGCACACTCGCGCTGGGTCCGGTGCGTCTTGTCATCTCACCCTCAATTATCCGCGGTATTGACAAACTGCTCGTCGCTCCGTCCTAATGCAGGCCGCTAAATGCCACGCGCCACGGGATCGATGCAGACAAAGCAGCAGCTGCAGTGGTGTTCAATATGAAGGAGATATTTGGGACAATTTGTGGGTTTTTATCCAAGTGAGGCTTTTTTTCCATTCTCATAAATGCAGGCATAATTAGGGTAATTTTTGATGTAGCCCGCTGATTACAGCGTTTTTACCGTCAAAGATAATTACCTGTAATTTTCTACCACTTTTAATACTAAAAGGCATCTTTATTTGGATTTGAGGTAGCACAGATGGAACAAAAGGGAAAATTATTCGGTTATTCATATACAAATTGCTCAGAAGAGTGAGCGCTCGGGATATTATCTGAAATTACACAACGTTGAAAAGCGCCACGCAGCTGTCATGTCGCGGATGTCCCACTGGCGCTCACTCAGCAGTACCTGGGCCCCCACGCGCGCCAGGGGCCTCTCATCTGCCTCATCCCCGGGAGAGGAGCTGCTGTGCCGGGCTCACACCGACCAACCAACCACCAACCACCCAAGAAGCAGCAGCAGCAGCAAACAAGCTCCACAAACACCAGAGAAATCACAGAATCATCATCAGCCGCACGCAGGGACACGGGGCACAGACGAGCTTTGATTACACAGACACGATTTAGATCTGCAAGTCTAAAGATAGATAGATAGATAGATAGATAGATAGATAGATAGATAGATAGATAGATAGATAGATAGAAGAGACAGACAGAGGTGTGTGGGGGAGGATGTGTCACTCTTCTGTCAGACCTGTCTCGCCGCTGCTCTATAGAAGGCGCCGTGAGCCATAAAAGCACCTGCAGCTGACACGCGTAAGCCGTGCGCGAGACGTGCGTGTGCGTGTACGTGCCCGCGCCCTGCAGCAAGCAAGAAAGACACCACCACCACCTCCAAGCATCACCACCTCCAGCACCTCAACACGCACCACACCAGAGTCCAACGCGACACCACAGGCCCCGAGTCCGAGTCCGCGTAAATCCTCCCCTCAGACCCACAAACACGAACAGAACCCGAACAGAACTCACACATTAACGGCTCCTACCTTGTCCCGGAGCCGAGGCAGAGCTGCGCCTCTCCTGCTGCCCGCGCATAAGCAAATCCAGGTGTAAGCGCCCGCTCAGCCCGGTAAGCTCTTATATATTGCCTGCAAAATTAGCTGTTATTACTGTCAGTGTTTAGTGATGGCGAGCTTGAAAAAAAAAAAAAAAAAAAAAAAAACCTCTCTGCAATCAAGAACCAAGCGCATCTTTGCAAATTATAGGTAATTGTCAATGTCCAGATTATGATAATGGAGGCCCTAATCCTGAGAATAATTATTGTGGAGAGTTACAGTCGGAGCTGTCCAGTATTTACGCGGGGTTTGTGGACGCGTGCGTGCGGGGCTGAGTGGAAAATATTGGGCTGCAAATAAACGGGGCTCTTGATGTAATGGCGCCACTACAGCCCCGTGGATACGCGCGTGGATGGGACACGGACACGGACGGGGACGGGGACGTGCGTGAGTTTAATCTGAGTGGAGAGCGTGGCGCGTCGGGTTTGATTCATTTGACTAAATATGACAAGTGACAAACGCGATCAGGTGACTTGGGTGGGTGCTTTGGGTGTCCACGTGTAGTGCCCCGAGGCTTTTTGACCTCTCCTGTGAAGATCTGTGGAGGTGCGTGGTCAAAACTGGGAACATCTTCACGTTTTAACTCGGATTAGTGTAAAATTATGGCTTCAGGTGTGTCCAAACTCTGGCTCTGGTTCACCCAAACCCAAAGTGGGAGCAGAGAGAAGGCTTAAGATCAAATCACGTGGAGCAAACGGGGGCTCAAGACGTCTCGCCATGACGGTAAAATAACCCAAACCAGACTCGTTCGTGTTGCAACAAAACAAACAAAAGCGTGGGACAATGAATAAACGGCGCGCGTAAAGGGCGTGACGTCTCATCCCGCGCTCCCGTCTGCTCCCCCGTGCGCGCTCCCGTCCGCTCCTCCGTGCCCCGGGTAGTGCTTCTGCTGCTGCTTCTGCTTCTGCTGCTGCTTCACGTCCTCGCAGTTTCGCGCTGAGAGCCTCTCCGCGCGTCGTGGCTAATTATGGCTCCCGTTTGGCCCACATTCAGAATTAGGCCGAAAATGACAACAAGCTGCGCGCGCCTGGCTCTGGGGGGAGGGAGGGGAGGGGAGAAGGGGGGGGTTACGAAAGGTTTCAGGTCAGATGGATCACGCGAGGCCCTCTCGGTCACCGCTGGTCAGGTTTCAGGTGTTGAGGAGTTGAGTAGCCCCGAGTCCAAGTTAAATCCTCGGTTAATCTCGGTTTGGGTCCGTGCGTAATTGCGCGTAGACTCGCCGTCCACTGCAGCTCTGGCCTCTTTATCCTGGCACCGTTTAAGACGTATTTGTGTGTGCGTGTTTGGCCTTGAGGTCACCCGAGTTACAGTTGAAGATTTGAGACAGATTTAGGATCTTGGATTAATTAGAATTGATCTCATTTGGTGCGTAAAAACATTCAGTATAAAAAGGCCTGTTATTATCAGAAACATTAAACACAATTTGGTCATAACTAACAAGTAACTAAGGCCTTTTACGTCTTATTTGGGTTCTGTTTGGTCCTGGTTCTGTTTAGTCCTGGTAAATTAAATCCACATACTAACATCTGTATTATTAGTCCTGGTTTGGACCTGTTGTAGACCTGGTTTAGTCCCAGTTCAGTCTGAATTTTGACGTGAACGCACCGTTTTGGTTTAGTTTTGGTTTGATTCAGTCCTGGTTAAGACTTTTCTTTCTCCCCAGTTTTGAGTTTTAGGCCTGATACTTTGAGTTTCTTGGTTTAACTTAGAATCTTGTGTGATTTTGTGTTAACTCTGTGTTCTGATCCGCGCTCTAACAGTTTCCTCATCACAAACAAACCCTGCAGATTTAGGCCGAGTTCTTCTCTCAAACTGGAAACTCTCTCTTCCACCTTGTGATGTCATGAAGTGGGAAGCGCTCCACTGTGGTTTTAAACTCAAACTCAGCATTTAGACCTTCACTGGAATCATTTGGATCATTTCAGCAAAGGCATTTCTTTACCAATCTCGACTGAACTAAAGGTAAAACGAGCTGTTCACTTGAAAATCGCTGCTTCGTGACATCACAAGGTGGAACAGAGCGTTTTCAGCTTTGGAAATGTGGACAGACTAGCGTGTGAATGAAACAAAACACAAGTCCAGGTCTGTTTTGGAGGAGGGAGCAGCATTAGAACATGATTTACAGCTCACATGAGTGGGTTTTGCGTCATTTAGAACCTTTTAAAGACAGAGACATAAACTGGATTTTCGTGGTTGGACTTGGACTTGTTCTAGACCAGGTTTAGTCCCAGTCCCTCTTGGGTGTTTGGTTTGGTTTGGTTTGGTTTGGTTCAGCCTCACTCCAGCCCTGCTCCTTTGTGCGTGGTTTTCAGTAGTCTGGGTGCAGATAAACAACATCTAAAAAAATAGTGAGAGCTGAAAACCCAAATGCATTTCAGACGCGCTCTGCTCCCTCCAGACCGGTTTGTTTAGCGGTTTAGCAGCAGCAGCGCTAGTATTACAGCCTGCTAATAACACCCTACAATCGCTTTTTTCTCTCTTTTTTTTCTCCCTTTCCCGGAAGGTGGGCTGCGGCCGGGAGTGGCGGAGCTGTGGAGCCGCTCAGCCCCCACAGGAATGCGGATTGTCTCAGCTCCAGGGCCGCCCCCCCTCCCCTCCTCGCCTCCTCGCTGCCATTCAAAGCGCGTAATTGTAGGGGACACAAAGCCGTCTGCAGCAGCCTGCTCTCTGCTTACAGCCGGCCACAACACGCGGATATGAGAGAAATGCCACCGCGTTTTTTACGGCGTCAACGTCAACGTGTCTGCAGGGAAAGGTTTATTTACGAAGGCTGATTACGCAAAGGAGAAGAAGAGAAAACACGCTCCAAATTCTCCTTCTTCTCCTCATTATTGTTATTAGAAGTGATAGCAGTAATAGTAGTATATTTTTTTTATATTTTTATTATAATATTTCTTTTTAATAGGTGTATTTCTTTGGCTCGGAGTCGGGCCTACACACCACAAACCACCGTCTTGATTGTTTCCTTGTGGTTGCCATAGCTGCCAGAATAACAATAATAATAATAATAGGCCTGACCCCGTTTGGATTTAGTGGGAGAGTCACGTGTGGATTGGGTGAATTTCATGGGAATTTTATCAGCATTTAAAAATGTCACTTATTTTTTCTGGAGCAGGTTTTATTCCAGTTATTCCATAGAAATGTTTGGCCCTGACGCAGTTGTGTGTGCATGGGGCTGGCACGAATTGTAGTGATTTTGTGCAGATTTTACGCGTAAAAACCGAGTGGGATTCCAGAGATTTTCTAAGGAGATGTGTTTTCCAAAGATGATTTAAAACTGGTCAGATGAAGTGATCGTGTTTCTGAGTTTACGCACACGCACCTCTGCACCTCTGCACCTCTGCACCTTTGCACCTCTGTCCCGCCCGCTCGTGCTGACAGCGTGAGCCGCGTGCAAAAAACCAACAAAACACACAATCACGTCACGTCCCGGAGCGCCGCGGTGATTTACGGCGCCGTCACCCGAGGCCAGCGCTTTGTCTGCGGCTTAAATAACAGCACAGGACCCGCTCACTGCTCATTGTCCACGTAAACGTTTAATAGTCTTCCAAAAAATGCAATAAATTACATGCACACATTTACACATTTGACACGTTTGCTCCTATGACCATCACATACATTGCATATTCCTCTGAAATATGAAGAGTCCGGGGGGGGAGGCGCGCAGTCCGGGTTCAGTATAACGTCCCTGCTCCCAGCGCCAGGGAGTGCGGTAAGGACCCGGGGCTCTGCAGGTGCGAGGAGGCCGCCGAGCTGTACCAAGATACCGAGTTTTCCAAAAAGTGAGACGTGGCGGCGGCGCTGCTGCTGCTGCCGGTGCCGCCGAGGCTCTGAGGCGGCAGCACGTGCGTCCTGCCCGGGCCCTGGGACTCCCACAGGGCCGGGGACTGCGGGGAGTTGCACGCCATGGGGTCGCTGGAGCTCGGGCTGTGCTCCGGGGGCAGCTCGCCGTTTTTCATGATCTTCTTCAATTTGGAGCGTCTGTTCTGGAACCAGATTTTCACCTAGAAATAAAAAAAAATAAATTAAAAAAAAGCAGTGTTAAAGAGAGAGGACTGAAGCAGAGCCGTGCGTAAAATATAATTACGCGCGTAAAGGTTGATAAAATGCCGTGCGTAAAAGCGCGCGCACATGGATGTTTAGAGAGATCATCGTTACGCAGTTGTTCCATACAGGCGGTGTAAACAAAACCAAACTTTCCTCTCGGTGCTTCCACATAAATTTACTGTTTGTATATTGTGTATATTCTAACCCAGACAGAACCACGGTGATAAATCCACGCGTAATACACTGAACTGTGGACCGTGTCAAATGTAAATGTGCGTTGGACAGTTGAGGAAATGCGCACAGATCCAGGATAAAATAAACATTTAAAACGTGTAAATAACAGGAGAAACAGATGTGACCTCTGTGTGTAAAATTCCTGCTCCTGTTTTCACTTTTTCTTAAATTTTTAAACCTGGATGCTCAAATTATTTTTCAAGATTTCACAAATTAAAATGACACGCGGATCTTTTCGTGTAATTTTGCAGAAACACACAATCTTCCTGATATATTCGCCTGTATTTCCGTGTGTGTCCCAGTGCAGCGGAGTCGTACCTGCGTCTGCGTGAGGCCCAGGGACGCGGCCAGCTCGGCTCGCTCCGGCAGCGCGAGGTACTGCGTGTTCTGGAAGCGCCTCTGCAGCGCGGCGAGCTGGAAACTCGAGTAGATGGTCCGGGGCTTCCGCACTTTCTTCGGTTTACCGTTCACCATCCGCACCTCGGGCTCCACCAACTCTTTGTCTGCTGAGAAAATGACACCAAAACATTCTGAATTAGGCGGCGTGGAAAAGTTTAGTCATTTTAAAAAGAACCAAAAAAAAAAAAAAAAAAAAGCCTCGGTTAATAAATAAACGCGTAACAGAAGAACACGAGTAGCACAGTTGTTCCGTTTTGCGCACTGAAGTTTCCAAAAGTACAAATCGTCTGGATCGGGCCGTACCTTGTGGACTGGCTTGCCCCGGGAGTCTGCTGTAAGTCCCGTATTGTGGGTAAGCCGCCGCCGCCGCCGCCGCCGCCGTGTACGCGCCGTAGTCTGAGTAGGATTTGGCCCCGTAGTTCCCCGTCGCTCCGTTCACGCTCTGGTACTGGTACTGGTACGTGTTGAGCGGCTTCCCGTACGGCGTGGGGCTGGGGGAGCAGTAGCCCGTGGTGGAGGCGGCTGCGGCGGCGGCGGGGCCCGGGCTGTAGTAGCCTGAGTCCGTGGCTGTCGACTCGGGCAACGTGGGGGATTCCTGAGACGGATGGTGCATGTTGGAGATGTGGAACGAGCTCTGGAAATCTTTGACGCTCCTCCGGTCGAATACTCCAGTCATAATTCGGTTACGCGTGGAAATGTCGAGTACTTCTGTGATTACAAAGCGATAAAAAGTGTGTCCAGTGTGTGCCGTGAGACTAGAGGACCATTATGACACGCTCTCGGGCCGCGCGCTCCACTGAAGACTGCAGCCAGCCCCTCAGCAAAGACTTGGTTAAATCCTAAACTGCGCTCTTACGCACTGCGGGGAGGACCTGGTTCCATTGGCCAAGGCGCGCACAGACTGAGAGCTACACCCAGCCCGCTCCCACAGCTCCGCGCGAGGGGGACGCCCGGACCAGGCCGCCTTCCTATTGTTTTTATACGATCAATCAAGTGTGGCCCATTACCGTGCGCGTGGAGTTTTACGCGCGCGGATTCACGGGGGGAGCGCGTGGTGGGGGAACGGGCCTCCCACGCGCTCACCGACATCCACCGCGCGCTCACGCCTCGTCGTACATGGCTTTTATTTACGCGCTTTTTACGAGCTTCTGCAGTTAAAGAAGCGCATGACACGAGGCCAACGACGGACCCGAAGCGATTACGAAAAAAAAAAAAAAAAAAAAAAAAAAAAAGCCTCCAAAAGATTCGTTTGTTTCGCTGAATTAATAATGTAAAGTGACGTAAGGGTTTGATTTAAAGTTTGGATCACACAGAATGACAGAATAACCTATATTTCTGACACGGGCTGATTTACTGTAAGGATCAGGCCTTTTTAACGCATTTACAGGTGGACAGCGCCGCCCAGTGGACACATCCAGAACTGCACCAAAACTCAGGCTCAGCTCGTGATGAAACTGAACATTTGTGCGCGGGTAAAGTAAAGTTTATCACATTTTATAAACCACATTTCCATTTAAAATTAGATTAAAAATGAGCAGTGTTGTGAAGTTTACTTTTAAAATGTAATCCCCTACGGATTACAGATTACATACACCAAAATGTAGTTTGTAACGTAATCCATTAAATTACTTAAAGTGAGTAATGTAATCTGATTACTTTGGATTACTTGGTTTGTTGTAGAGAAGCAAAGACGAGGAAATCTTCACATGAGAAGTTTTGTCTGATGAAAGAAAATAAAAAGCCCAAACTTTACTGAACCATATTAAAAATATTATTGATAAAAGAAGAGGAAACACGTCCACACAGCAGGATTTAGCCCTGATTAAATCCTGTTTTAGTCCTGTTTTAGACCTGGTTTAGACCTGGTTTAGACCTGGTTTAGTTCTGGTTTTGAACTGGTTTAGACCTGGTTTTGAACTGGTTTTAGACCTGGTTTAGACCTGGTTTAGTCCTGGTTTAGTTCTGGTTTAGTTCTGGTTTAGTCCTGGTTTAGTCCTGGTTTAGTTCTGGTTTAGGCCTGGTTTTAGTCCTGGTTTAGACCTGGTTTAGATCTGGTTTAGTTTCTGGCCATGAGTGGAATTACTGAAAAAAAAAAAAAAGGATTTAGCCCAAAATGTGAAAACAGGAAAATCCCTCAGTGTAATCCATTTATTTCAACAAAGTAACTGTAATCCAATTACCACTCACTGAAACAGTAACTGTAACTGAATACAGTTACTCATCATTTGTACTCTGATTACGTAACTCCAGTACTTGTAATCTGTTACTCCCAACACTGAAAATGAGTAAAGTGTTATGTTCTGTTTGTTATGTTGAATATTTAGTTTTAAAAAGTTTCGAAAAAATTGTTAATTCATTTTGTTTTTACATGTTGCTGTTTAAAAGTCTGTATTTGTTTTTTAAAACTAGAAAAGAGTCGTTTTCCTTCAGTTGTAGCACCAGATATTTCACCCGTAGATGGCGCTGGTTCTCTGTGTTCCAAAGGAGGATGTTGGTTTTTTTTTGAAACCCACAGATGATGAAGACTGAGCTGTCAGCAGTGTTGGGAAGGTCACCTTTAAAATGTAATCCCCTACAGATTACAGATTACAGATTACACATCACCTCTATTAAATACTTTAGGTGAGTAATGTAATCTGAATACTTTGGATTACTTGATTTGCTGTAATGTCCTGTTAAATCCTGGTTTAGTCCTGGTTTAGATCTAGTTTATAGTAAATGTTCTTCTCTCATTAAATAAACTATGAAACAATTTAAATAACAAACACCTTGATGAAAGTGACGTGAGTGTGTCTTGATGGGACCATTGGAAATCTCTTCGTGGTTTATGTTCTCTAGACATAATTCCCGTTTTTTTTTTTTTTGGATAATTCCCTTGTTTGATCCTGATGAGTCATTTCCAGAGGAACAGTGAAGAAACGAATCATTTTATCCCTTTCAGAGCGTCTAGAACAACCAAATACACAACAAAACCTGCCCATGTTTCTCCGACGCTGCTGAAGTCAGTGACATATCGTGTCCGGTGTCATGGCGGCGTAGGTACTGTTGCTGTAGGGTCACGTGACGGTGCAAAGACTCTGTAGAATACATGGAAATAAAGAAAAAAAATATACAGAATCTTGGTTTTGTTTCTCTCTTTGTTTTCCTCAGAAAGACGATAACTTTAAGAACTTGGGAGTATTTGTGATGTAAACTGGACTTGAGGTTTGAGCGATTATAAATGGAACACTTTATTTTTAAATAAGTGTCTCTGTGTCTAATATAAACGGGCCGATGTTTGTTTCGTTTTTATCGCGTCGTTTGTTTTGCCGTTTATTTCGTCTAAACTAAAAAGCAGTAAATATGTGTGGGCAAAATAGGAAGGACGCGTCTTGTTGTCGTAGAGATTATGAAGTGTTCACTGGAGCTTCAAAGCGAAATTGAGGATTTACATGAAAATAGACGCAGCCCGATGACTTTTGGGTTTGGATAAAACTGAGGAGGAGGTGAATTCTAAAGAGATTTTTTTTTTGAAGACACTGGAAATGAACGGATTTGGGCAGCACTTTTATTGAACAGGCTGAAAAATATGAGGCGAACTCCTTCAACTACTTCAAGAATTAAGAACTGTTCACAATCGTTGGCGGTCCTAGAAAAACGGCGCCCCCTGCCTGAACTCAGAGGCAACAGGCAAGGGCCGATCATTGCCGCTTGCGACTCTAGTCTTCGTGTCGTTGACTTGAGGTTGTAGATTTATTTATTTGTGGTTATTTCCTCTAAAGGGGCGACGCTTTTGAGTTCTTCTCCTAAACTCTCTGTTCCACCTTGTGATGTCATCAGGTGACAGTGTTGGGAAGTTTACTTTTAAAATGTAATCCCCTACAGATTACAGATTACACACCCCAAAATGTAGTTTGTAACAGAATCCATTAAATTACTTAAAGTGAGTAATGTAATCTGAATACTTTGGATTACTTGATATTGTCATGCTTTTAGTCCTTTAGTCCTTTAAAATTAGTCCTGGTTTAGTCCTAGTTTAGTCCTGGTTTAGTCCTGGTTTAGTCCTGGTTTAGTCCTGGTTTAGTCCTGGTTTTAGTTTAGTTTAGTCCTGGTTTAGTCCTGGTTTAGTCCTGGTTTAATCCTAGGTTTAGTCCTGGTTTAGTTTAGTCCTGGTTTAGTCCTGGTTTAGTTTAGTCCTGGTTTAGTCCTGGTTTAGTCCTGGTTTAGTTTAGTCCTGGTTTAGTCCTAGTTTAGTTTAGTCCTGGTTTAGTTTAGTCCTAGTTTAGTCCTTTAGTCCTGGTTTAGTCCTAGTTTAGTCCTAGTCCTTTTAGTCCAGTTTAGTCCTGGTTTAGTTTAGTCCTAGTTTAGTCCTGGTTTAGTTTAGTCCTGGTTTAGTCCTGGTTTAGTCCTGGTTTAGTCCTGGTCCTTTTAGTCCTGGTTTAAGTCCTGGTTTTAATCCTGGTTTAGTCCTGGTTTTAGTCCTGTTTTAGTCCTTTTAGTCCTGCTTTAGTCCTGGTTTTAGTCCTGGTTTAGCCTAAAATGTGAAAACAGTAAAATCCCTCTGTGTAATCCATTTATTTCAACAAAGTAACTGTAATCCAATTACCACTCACTGAAACAGTAACTGTAACTGAATACAGTTACTCATCATTTGTACTCTGATTACTCTGGTGCATGTAATCTGTTACTCCCCGACACTGTCAGGTGGTGATACAGGAAGTGCTCCGCTGTGTTTTTAAACTCCACACACCTTCAGTAGAATCACCTGGATCATTTCAGGTCTGGAACTGCCAAACTCTGTCAACAAAACACAACTGCAGTTCTGTTTGTGACGAGGAAAAATTAGAACAGAAATGAGAAAATAACACAACACGGCTTCTTTAAAACATCTTTTGGTGCAGCGTAAACAACGTTTTTGTTTAATATTAAAGGTTTGTTTGTGTGCTGAGAGACCAGGGCTGAATATCATGAAGAAGTTTAATTTATTGATTTAATTGATTTATTGGTTTATTTATTTTGTGTTCTATGATTTTGTTTTTATTTTATTTTTCTGGTTTTATTATTTTAAGACTAGTATTATTTCAGTAGTTTATTTTATCATCTTATTATTATTGTTGTTATTATTTATTTATATATTTGTGCAGCACTTTGGAAACAGTTTGTTTGTGAAATGTGCGACAGAAATAAAGTGGATTGGATTTTGGATTGAAGAAGTTGCTGATAAAATACAGACAAATTTTGACACAGTGCACTTTCATTTCGGTACAATTCGATACGATATGTTTCAAATCGATTCATTATGATTCAATAAAAAATAATAAGTCATGGCTGTGATACTTAAAGTTTCCATTACACCACTACCTGCGCAAAGAGAACATGAAAAACATCTATTTTAATAATCAAAACAATGAGTTGTAATGGAAAATTGCCGTTCTGTCACAACTGACTTAGAACACACTTTAGAAAAGCAGGACGCGTGGGGGCTGTTTTTAAAGACTCTATTTGACGTACAATATTCTAAACTATTTATTATTATTATTATCTGCGCTGCTGTTGACCTGGACCTGAGCGCAGTGTTTCGTTTCTGTGTATTTTTTATACTGAAATGACAAATAAATTCTAATTCTGAAATAATTTAGTAAAATATACAAAAAAATACTCTCGTCGATATATCGATACAGCAGCCCACAATATCGATACTCTATCATCAAATGAAACGATACGATATCTTGATATTTCAGTATGTTTGCACACTCCTATAAGACACTGCACCAGGCATGTCCAAACTATGGCCTGTGGTCCAAATGCGGCCCTCAGACAATTTTTTCTTGGCCCTCAGGCTCCCAGCTGAATTGGCCCAAATGACTTTGCATCAATTAAAAACTGACTTTTTACTGCACTTTAAAAAAAAAAAAAATCTACCCTGATAAAGCCAATATTTAATATTTAGTTTGTGGTTTTAAGGATCTTAGCATGAATAAAGACTGATGGCTCATTTTAACGTGTTAAACCTGCACATATTTCAATTATTCACTGTATTGAGCATCAGTCTACAGCCCTCGATCGGCCTCTGCTTCATCTGTGTTTAGATATGTGGCCCTTCATGAAAAAAGTTTGGACACCGCTGCACAACACTGACAAAAAAACAACAACAACAACAAAAAACTGTCTGTCGTGTCGCGAACGGCGGCGAAAGTGCTCCGCGCCGCACCACTCCGCTCCGCGCCGCACCTCTCTGCTGTCTGCCGGGGATTGGGGCCGCACCGCTCCGCGCCGCTCCGCTCTGTGTCCGTGTATGGGACCGCGCCGCTCCGCTCCGCGCCGCATCGCTCCGCTGTGTATCGGGGAGATGGGGCCGCTCCGCGCCGCTTCGCTCCGCGCCGCGTCGCGTCGCTGTGTGTCGGGGGGGATGGGGCCGCTCCGCTCCTCTTCGCTCCGCTCCGCGCCGCGCCGCGTCGCTGTGTGTCGGGGGGATGGGGCCGTGCTGAGGACGATGAGCGCCTCGCAACACTTACCTTTCGGATAACTAACACCTCTATTCGTCCGGACACCTTCTCAAAGCTTTGGCCGACGCATGAGTTTGGTCTGAGCGGGACCAGAGTCTAGTGGAGTAACTCTTACGTCCACAAAACGGGCTAAAAGTCGACAAAATGTACCCGAGCGCCGGAGGTAAGCGGAGCGAGCGCGCCGCGGCTCAGCGTTAGCATTAGCACGAGAGGATGCTAACAAAATGAGCGCGCTACTTTAGCCCTTTTTGTCCTTCCACTCGGCTGTAAATACGTCCTTACGGCCGCATTATCGATTCAAACACCGCAGTAAAGCCCTCGTTTGCAGAAAGCGCATTTTGACGGCAGGTTTGTCCGCTGTTTGTGGAGGATTTAGCCGGGACGAGCTAACGATAAGCCAACGTGCAACAAAACAAGCTGTTGTTAGCACAGTTAGCACGGAGCTAGTGTGCGCTCGCGGGCTGCTGGAGCTCACTAAAGCTGCACACTTCACCGCAAAAACCCTCCAAACCTCTCAAACCTCTCATTCATCCTAAACATTACACTTATTCATCTGGTCTGGAGGCGGTGGGATGCGAGCTGTTGCATCATTGAGCTGCTCGGTGTATATTTTGTGTCTCTGATGAGTTTGCCAACACTTTAGCTTTGGTTGTGCAGCAGCAGCTCAAAAGGTAAAAGTGTTTTATGTTTATTTGGATTTTTTTTCCTGAATTAACTCAATGACGAACATCAGTGTTTGACAAGAACAGAGGGTCCACGATGCCCACCGTGGTCTAAAATAAATCTGAAACAAAAAAAAAACAGGCCAAACTTAGACTTTATTTATTCTGTAGTGTTGTTGTTTTAAACATTTGCAGAGGGAACCACATTTCAGCTGCGTTTAGACTTTGTTTTTATCAGCAGAGCCAAAAAGTCATTCACTATATTTATATTTTATTGAACCAAATGATTGAAATGTGTTTGTTTGTGCTGCTTTAGTCACAGAGTTTAACTTTGTGGAAACCCTGCACACAGAACATGTCACTAGAACGTGTGATTCTTCTGATGTTTGACCAAATTTCATAAACACCGTCACGTTTTCTCTTCTCATGCATAGTTTAGATGAGTGTAGATCGTTCTTAAGGTCATTAGATGGTCCCTGTGCTGTCCGAGCGTCCTGAAGGCCACCTCAGGAAAGTGGGTGTCTCTGGGTGAGATTAGCAGCTTGTCCAGAGCGTCTCTGTTGTGCACGATAAGAGGGGTGAAAATGTTGCACCTTATTGTGGACGAAACTGATAACTGCAAACTCTGTGTCCACGTTTAAAAGTTCTGCTGAAAATGCTGATTGTATTTTTTCTGTCGCAGGAGCTGAGATGCTGGAGGGGCCTCGGTCCTCTGGGTCTTTGAGCTCTGGTAAGATTAAAAACAAGAAACATTACGATTTTGCCCAAAGCAAATTTTTCATTTTTGTGCCTTGAAACAGGACTTGTGTAATTTGTGGTGCGTGAGGGGCGTAACTTTTATTTTATAACTCCCTCAACAAGAGGAGAGGACTTTATGTTTTGTCTTCATAAGAAAATACTTTATTTGTCCCATAATAATGAAATTAATTAAAACATAATTTCACCAAACAAACCAATCAGACAATTAACAGCAGTGTTGTGTAAGATGGTCTAAAGAGACAAAGATTTCTGACTTTGTCCAACCAGGAAATCTAAATGTCCTCGATGGGTCTGGATCATCACTGGATCTGCAGACAGAGGAGTTAGAATATTAGAATACAAATGTAGTTACTAGTTGCATTTTCTTTCCATAAAAAAACTTCTCCTGTTTGTCAGTGAAGTATGTCTTGACTAAGTGTTATCTTGAGTATAGGTGTGTGCTGAAGCTGTGTGTTTGACCTGGTCTCTTGTCCTTCAGAGCCCCCTTCCCCTCCTCTACCAGAGTATGTGTTCAAACCCCCTCTGCGGCCGGACTTCGGCACCATGGGCCGGACAATCAAACTTCAGGCCAACTTCTTTGAGATGGAGATCCCCAAAGTGGAGGTGTACCATTACGACATCGACATAAAGCCTGAGAAATGCCCCCGGAGGGTGAACCGGTGAGAGCTGGATCCACCTTCAGGATCTTTAGTCTTTTATTCTCCTTTAACCACTGTCTGTGTTTGTTTACAGTGAAATCGTGGAGCACATGGTCCAGCACTTTAAGACCCAGATTTTTGGAGATCGGAAGCCGGTGTACGACGGGAGGAAGAACCTCTACACGGCTATGCCCCTTCCCATCGGCAGAGAGAAAGTACGTACTGCTGCATTATAAAGTCCGGGTTGAATAGAACATCCCGTGGACGTGTGCCCTGTGCCCAGGTGGAGCTGGAGGTCACCATTCCTGGAGAAGGCAAAGACCGCAGCTTCAAAGTGTCCATCAAGTGGATGTCCTGTGTGAGCCTGCAGGCCCTGCACGAGGCTCTGTCCGGCAGACTGCCCAGTGTCCCCTTTGAGACCATCCAGGCTCTGGACGTGGTCATGAGGCACCTGCCCTCCATGAGGTACATACTACACAAATGTTTCTGTAAAACACATAAGTAAATGTGCAGTCAGAGGTTTACACACTGTGTGTGTTGCAGGTACACTCCAGTGGGGCGCTCCTTCTTCACCCCCTCAGAGGGCTGCTCTAACCCCCTGGGCGGGGGCAGGGAGGTGTGGTTTGGGTTCCATCAGTCTGTCCGGCCTTCTCTCTGGAAGATGATGCTGAACATTGATGGTTGGTGTTTGGTCTCTGTGTGAGTTTCAGTCATATTTCTGTGTGTCTCACCTCTGTGTTTGTTTCAGTTTCGGCCACTGCGTTCTACAAAGCTCAGCCTGTCATCGAGTTCATGTGTGAGGTCCTAGATTTCAAAAGCATCGAAGAGCAACAGAAGCCTCTGACCGACTCCCAGAGAGTCAAGTTTACAAAAGAAATCAAAGGTCAGAACACTGTCTCTGACGACTGTCACTGTGTTTAGTCTAAACGTGGTTTAATATAAGGTGCGTCTCTCAGGTTTAAAAGTGGAGATCACTCACTGTGGGCAGATGAAGAGGAAGTACAGAGTGTGTAATGTGACCCGGCGTCCGGCCAGCCACCAAACGTGAGACTCACATTCAGACAGGAGCAGATCAGCTGCAGACGGACGTTAACATGAGTCTGTTCTTTAGGTTTCCTTTGCAGCAGGAGAATGGGCAAACTATAGAATGCACCGTGGCTCAGTACTTTAAAGACAAGTACAAGCTGATCCTGAGGTACCCCCACCTCCCCTGTCTGCAAGTGGGACAGGAGCAGAAACACACCTACTTACCTCTGGAGGTACAGACCCGGCCTCGCTCTTATTCTCCTCTCTTGGAAATGGACTCTGTTTTAACCAGGTCTCTTAATCTCTCGACTCTCAGGTGTGTAACATCGTGGCCGGACAGCGCTGCATTAAAAAGTTGACTGACAATCAAACTTCAACAATGATCCGAGCTACGGCGCGCTCTGCACCAGACCGACAGGACGAGATCAGCAAACTGGTAAGAATCTGATCATTATTATCGGATCGTTCTCCCAACATGGTTCAGTTGTTTTGAAAAACCAAGCGATGACCCTTTCCCTGATCTCCTCCCCTCTGAAGATGAGAAGCGCTAACTTCAACACAGACCCGTACGTGCGTGAGTTTGGTGTGATGGTGAGGGATGAAATGACAGAGGTGAACGGGCGCGTCCTTCAGGCTCCATCCATTCTCTACGGAGGACGGGTAAGTCTATCATCTCATATCTGTCTGTCCACTAAAGCTCTTTTGTTTGGCGCACACTAAAGTCTTTTCTATTACAGAACAAAGCAATAGCCACTCCGATCCAGGGAGTGTGGGACATGAGGAACAAACAGTTCCACACAGGCATCGAGATCAAAGTGTGGGCCATCGCCTGCTTCGCTCCACAGAGACAGTGCACCGAGCTGCTGCTCAAGTAAGTCCACTCCCACCGTCCTGCTCATACAGAATATACAGATACATATATGTGTGTACTGTGTTCTGTTCAGCAGGCTGAGGAATATTCATGAAGAAACACTTTGTGACGAAGTGTTGAGCAGTTTATATTTAACTATAAAGGGCAAAACTCACATTTTAAGTTTGTCCAAATGGAAAACGATTTGAGACTGAAAGGAGACAGAAATCTGAACTGTTAATCTAAAATAAATATCCTTGCATTTCAGAACATGTTCGCAGAGCTCTAAACGACAAAGTTTGTGAGTTATTTTACATAACAAGACGTCTTATTTAGTTGCCATGTCGTCTTGAAGCCTGTGGGCTTTGCTAATAGTGATAATTCAAAATGTGATTGTGATTTGATTGTAAAACATCTTGCAGCTGCTGTGGTTGAGTCTGTCAGATCAGCTCAGGGTCTTTGGATGTGCAGTCGCGTTCATGCACCAGGGGACAGTGAATGTAGTGAGAGTTTCTGTTGACGTTGGCTGGAATACGTGAACATAAATACCAAGTTTGTATTTTTACTTTTGTTTTAATGTGAGAACAATTGTTTTTTCCAGGGCTTTCACAGACCAACTTAGAAAAATCTCTCGAGATGCCGGCATGCCTATCCAGGGTCAGCCGTGCTTCTGTAAATACGCCCAGGGAGCCGACAGTGTGGAGCCCATGTTCAGACACCTCAAGTACACGTACCAGGGCCTGCAGCTCGTGGTGGTGATCCTGCCCGGGAAGACTCCGGTCTACGGTAAGAAACACAGCCCCAGGGAGTCTTAGTACTACACCAGTGACAGAATGTGTGTACGTGTGTGTGTGCGTGCGTGTGTACACATGTGTGTACATATACATGTGTCATACTGACTGTGCTGCCCGCTCCCTTTAGCCGAGGTGAAGCGTGTGGGCGACACGGTGCTGGGGATGGCCACACAGTGTGTCCAGGTGAAGAATGTTCAGAAGACCACCCCTCAGACCCTCTCCAACCTCTGTCTGAAGATCAATGTCAAACTGGGAGGAGTCAACAACATCCTGCTGCCTCAGGGCAGGTGGGTCCCATGAGCGTCTAAACGTTTTATAAATGAGAGAGTCCTGATCTGACTCTGTGTCTCTTTACTCTGTCCCAGGCCTTTGGTCTTTCAGCAGCCCGTCATCTTCCTGGGAGCAGACGTGACCCACCCTCCTGCAGGAGACGGCAAAAAGCCTTCCATCGCAGCTGTAAGATGTTCACAAAACCTTTTCTCACTGATTCTGTGGACCTACCTGTTGTGTTCTGACTGTGGGTCCTCTCAGGTGGTCGGGAGCATGGATGCTCACCCGAGCCGTTACTGCGCCACAGTGCGGGTACAGCAGCACCGCCAGGAGATCATCCAGGACCTGGCCGCTATGGTCCGAGAGCTGCTCATCCAGTTCTACAAGTCCACCCGCTTCAAGCCCACCAGGATCATCTTCTACCGCGACGGCATCTCAGAGGGACAGTTCAACCAGGTAAAGACGGGGGCACATGCGGGGGGCACACGCGGGGGCACACTTGGACTGGGCATGTGGGTCATACATGATCATTGATGAAGCTGCTGGATCAGGTTCTTCAGCATGAGCTGCTGGCCATCCGCGAGGCCTGCATCAAACTGGAGAAGGACTATCAGCCTGGGATCACCTTCGTGGTCGTGCAGAAAAGACACCACACCAGACTGTTCTGCACCGACAGGAACGAGCGGGTCAGTTACACGTCTGTCAAACACTCAGAGTGTCTCTGTTCTAAACTCATGTTATAAAGTCTCTTTATATCGACAGGTCGGGAAAAGTGGCAACATCCCCGCAGGCACGACCGTAGACACCAAAATAACCCACCCATCTGAGTTTGACTTCTACCTGTGCAGTCACGCCGGCATACAGGTGAGTGTTTACTGTTCTGTTAGAGGCTCTTCCTCCAGCAGAACCATCCACTGTTTATTTAAACGGACAGAGTTTCTGCTGCCGCCGTGTTCCACATACGAAGTGATCATGAGGGCAGCACCAGCTCCCAACGTTTCCAATTCACTTTACTTTGAAAAATAGTTGCCCCTCTGTCTGTAACTGCTGCAGTGACTCTCGTCAGGTCGGGTTTTATTTCACTATTTTGTCCAAAAAAATAAATTCCTATTCCTGCCGTGGAACTGTGCTCCAAATTTGCCCCATAACTGCTCAGCCCCGTGAGCTTCATTTGACTGTAAAACAAAAGTGGGGGACCCCACCCACGTGGGGGGTAAAGTGCGGTAAAGGTGCTCACGTGGGGGGTAAAGGTGCTCTGCTCTGGGGGGGTAAAACTTGTACGTGGGGGGTAAAGGTGGTACGTGGGGGGTAAAGGTGCTCTTGTACGTGGGGGGTAAAGGTGCTCTTGTACGTGGGGGGTAAAGGTGCTCTTGTACGTGGGGGGGTAAAGGTGCTCTTGTACGTTTGGGTGTACGTGGGGGGTAAAGGTGCTCTTGTACGTGGGGGGTAAAGGTGCTCTTGTAAAATGTGGGGGGGTAAAGGTGCTCTTGGGGGGGTAAAGGGTGTGTTTGTGGGGGGGTAAAGGTGCTCTTGTACGTTTGGGGGGGTAAAGGTGCTCTTGTACGTGGGGGGGTAATGGTGCTCTTGTGTGGTGTTCTGTGCAGGGCACCAGTCGACCGTCTCACTATCACGTGCTGTGGGACGACAACCACTTCTCGTCAGACGAGCTGCAGGTGCTCACCTACCAGCTGTGCCACACTTACGTCCGCTGCACACGCTCGGTCTCTATCCCCGCCCCCGCCTACTACGCTCACCTGGTGGCTTTCAGAGCACGATACCACCTGGTGGACAAAGAGCACGACAGGTGAGTCGCCCCAAGAGCACACTGCACACTGCACACTCCACACTGCACACTGCACAACTGCACACACTGCACAACTGCACACTGCACACACTGCACACTCCACACTGCACACCCACACTGCACAACTGCACACTGCACACACACTGCACACTGCACACACACCACACTGCACACGCCACACAGCACACTGCTGTGGTTCTGTTGATTTAAAAGTGTGAGTGTTCTAAATGTTTGAATCATTTCTACCTGAGGGGTTGAACAGAACACAGTCTGTAGTTTTTGTGTGAAGTTGACCAGTGTTTGTGTTTGTGTTTTTGTTGCAGTGCGGAGGGCAGCCACACGTCTGGACAGAGTAACGGCCGAGACCACCAGGCTCTGGCCAAAGCCGTGCAGATCCACCAGGACACCCTCCGAACCATGTACTTCGCCTGAAGGTCTCATATCACAGAAGTATGAACAAGAGACCAACAGAAACTCAAACCTTTTACTTTCACTTGAACATGCGTTAGCATCACCGCTCTGAGGGAAAAAGTCCAACCTAACAATCTTAGTGTCAAAAGTAGCTGGGCCTGTGTGGAGCTGAGTCTGTGGCTCAGCTGCTGTTTGTGTTCCATTTGAAGCGTTTGGTGCTCTTACACTTGGGGAGGGTTCATTGCCTAAGGTTTGTCTGTGACGTTACAATTTAATTTATCAGCCAATCAAAGACGAGTGCACTGACTGTCAGGACAAGAGTACTTGTATGTGCGTTTGGGCACTGTGTGCTGAAGTGCCATTTCACGCCCTCTGTGTTTATGTCCAACCCTCTGACCCCTGCGGCCCCTGATTGGCCCCAGTATTCTCATGCCAAATCTCTGAGGCTCTAGAGCAGAGGTGTGGGACTGGCCCCTCCAGCTCCTCCTCCAGTCTGAGCCATGTTCTTAATCATCTCCAGTCTGTCTCTAGTCTGTCTGTTACAGTTCTGTGTGTAGCAGACACATTTAGGCATTTTACACACTTAAGTTTCCTAATTTAATTTCTATCATGTCTTGGGGTCCTATGGGCTGTGTACTGTCAGTGGTTCAGATGTGTGTGTGTGTGTGTGTGTGTGAGGCTGAGTTTTAACTGAGTAATTCCCCAGTTGCAGCACACAAGTTTTTGTTTTATGCAAATGACTTTTTGGAGTCTTTATACTCTTAGAATAGTACTGTTGGTAATAAGGTATATTTTAAATAAGCTTTCAGTAAAGGCTGCTGAAAATATAGATTTGTACAAAAAACTGGCCCACAAGTAGCCCAAGGCTACACTCCTATTTGTCTACACATTTGAAATGCAAATCTTCTCTTGCCTTGAAAGACTTTGACAGTCTTGAGTAATAAAATCAGACATTTCCTAATAAGGCGTTAAAGGTCTGGCTACATGTACATGAGCATTTCACACAAACGGGTTTGTGCCTGTGTCTGAAACTCTCCATGTCTAATATCTGTACAATAGAACACATCATCTGAGCGCCACAGGCTGTTTGTGCCCGGGCCTCGGTGGTCCCGCGCGGGGCCCCGGGCCTCGGTGGTCCCGCGCGGAGCCCCGGGCCTCGGTGGTCCCGCGCGGGCCCCGGCCTCGGTGGTCCCGCGCGGAGCCCCGGGCCTCGGTGGTCCCGTGTGGAGCTCTGATCTGGAGCTGGAGACTGTGTGAGGTGTTGCTGTACATGTAGCGTCAGTGTGAGTCCTAAGATAAGCTGGTGAATGTTGATGTAGTCTTTGAGTGGAGAAGTCTACATACTCGATCTATGCATCGTTTGTAACCAAGAGATTGACTGTGTGTCTGTGCGCCTCGTTCAGGGTTTGTTTCCTCCTTTTTAGAGCCTCTTGAGTTTTAGTCCGGTGCTTTTGTAGTTTCCTCGTGGTGTGGAAGGTGAACGTGCTCGTTTGTACAGTAGATTTTTATGGCTTCATCTTTTCTAACAGTCTTTCCTAGCCAAACAAGATTACGCTCTTTGTTAGTAATAAAACACAAGCACAATAAGATTCTTGGTGCTAAAAGTTCTCAGTAGAACTGCCCCATCACTGGTCCACACGGCGCCCCCTGTGATTACGCTTCATGTTTTCTCTCCTGGGCATTCTGAACTGGCACTTGGCGCTGCCATGCTGTGAGTGTGGCTCCCCCTGGTGGAGGTATGGCAGACCGGACGCACTTTTGGAGCAGAGGTGGTTGTCGTCGTGTTGGGGCTGTAGGAGCAGAGAGGTGCTGGAGCCTGGGGTAATTGTGTGGAAATGGCTGTAGGTCCTACCTCTTGTTACCTGTTCTAGTGTTATGGTAACATCGCACTACGGGCCATTTCGGCATAATTACCCCCCCAGACAGCGGCGTAGTGACCCCCCCAGACCGGGCACTGCTCTGAGCGTTTAGAGGAGTCCTGTTTGGATCTGAAGCCTTGAGCTGTTTGACCAAATAGTGTTTTTGTCCTTCTCGCGTCCCTTTTTGATTCTATGCACCAGTGAAAGCTCTTCAGATTTCACCCGCGCACTGAAAACGTCTCACATGAATCTTCTAGTTCGAATCTTTATCCATCACTTTAGCCCTCACAGAACTGCCAACGCTTTTCACGCGAGATCTAACGGAGCAGAGCGGGGTGTTTCATCGAGACTCGGCCGTGTATACGACTAAAGCAGCTGCTGTTTCACTACTGGACTGCGTGGAAAACAAAAATGTGGAAAATTCTTCAAACATTTGGTCTTAATTTCTTCCGTAAGTTTCTGATAATTTGATCTTTTTCATACATATTTTCAAATTCTCTCCTGTTTCACAAATCCTCATCTACAGATCAAGTCACAAAAAGGTGATTATCATGATTTTATTTTAGTTTCCATGATTTCGCAGTCCCACGTGAGTCTGCGCCGCCCTCTTCATGTCACACCCCTGCTCTTCCTCCTCTTCTTCGAACGGCCCACACTCGGGGACTCTCCGATCTTTAAGTGTGGAGCGTGTCGGTAAATCCCACCGCAGCGTTCGGCACTTTTCCCTGCACCTTTTTTTTTTTAGAGCCGTGGAGCAGTTTGTGCATTTCCTCTTTACAAAAAACATTTGACAATATTGCACTAAAGGAGAACGGACCCAGGCAGCTGATGCAAACTTAGGAGGAGGACGGATTCAAGTGTCTCGGAGGTGTTGAGTCGACCGGAGGGGTCAGAGCGCGGCGCTGTTCCCGCCAGTTCAACGTGGCATCAGTTATATCACAGTTTTATCTTTAAAGGAGACAGATTTTTGCTTTTTTCATCTCAGAGTTGTATTTTTATTCATTCTCGCAGGTTTAGTCTCATTCACACTCGCAGCCCGACTCAGAGTTTACCGGATTTTTACCAGAACAGAGTCATTTTCTTGCATTTCTGATCTGGCAATTTCCCAGGTAAGTTACAGAGAATATTCAGGGAACTCTCACGCGTGAATAAAACCTGAAAATGACCAGTAGCGCAGGTCGGTTTCCTCGGTTCCTCTGCCGGTGACGTTCTCACTCGCACAGATTTAAATGACAAAGCAGCGTTTGTTGAGTGTGCGAGAGCAGAGACACCTGATCTCAACCGATACCAGCGCGGAGACTCAAACATTTCCCTCCTTTTAAACGAAAATGACACAAAACTGGTCCAAACGAATTCAGAGATAAATAAGAGCTACAGAACAGCTTTAGGGAAATGCAAATTCAAACTTTATGAGACTTTCCGTACCGATTATGAGCAGTAAATATTTTTTTTACGTCCGGATATTGGCTGAAACGATATCCGATCCAGCAAAACCAATATCAGATCGGTGCAATCCTATTCCAGGTCCGTGTCCGATTTTGTTCCTTCTAAACTACAACATCTGAGTGAAAAAAGCAGAGTTTGTCGTCTTTAATAGTTTTCTGGCTCTTCTTTGTGTCCACGTGAACTGGCGCGTGCGGCCGAGACTCGGACACTCGGCGCCGAACGACCGTGTGTGTGATTGTGCGTTTTGACTTTAAGTGAACTCACCAGCCTGAACTTTTGAAACTTTGAGGTGCTCTCCCTCCTCCTCCCCCCGTTACCTCACCCGCTCCGGGGAAGGACGCTCTGACATATCAAACCAGGGGCGGGCGATATCGCAAACTCAGCCTCTACGATCTCAACTTTTATCACTGCGCAAATACAGATCCGTAAAATCGAAAAACGCCGACTGTGTGACGTTTCTTGTGGAGAATTCGCAGCGTTCTGGCCTCCGCCTCGAATCGGCTCTATTCACGCTTACGGAAGAAGTTCGGAAACATGCGGGCGACGACTTCCAGTTTATTTCCCGACTCTGGGCACGTGACAAAACAATAAAACCGTGGATTGAGCAGCAGCGTTTTCACAACCTGCCAAAGTTTTCCACGGGGAACGGGACTCTAATCGCGTCTTCAGCGTCACTTTGAGGCAGCTGTTGATCTGACGAACATAACTGAACGCTGCAATGACGTGTTTTTTAAGTTTCACAAATTATAATGCACAAATGAGTAGGCAGTTTATAAAAGGAAAAAATACAGTGACATCTAGATGAAGACTTTCGCCAACTGAGCCCGAAGGAAGTCGTCACCCGCGTGTTTCCAGACGCCTTCCGGTTTCGTGATTAGAGCCGATATTCCACAGCGTCGGGTTAAGCGTGACGTCGCTTCCGAGTCCGAGGCGCAGCAGCTGATTGAAAAACGAAGGACGTTTTTGTTTACAGTTTACAAAACATCTTACGTTAAAAAGGGACTGCTCCACCTCACAGTTAAGTCTACTGTCGGGTCGAGGTAAGAAGCTGTGACTTTATCAGGGAGAACAGACGTCCCTGTGTCTCCTGTCCCAACAGATTTATCCAAAACCACTGATAAGTTTAAATTTTATACAAGAAATGTCCATATTTTTGGCCAGTTTGATCCCTTCCAGCAGTAAAGAGAAGCATTTGTTTCAGTAAAATTTACTTAAAAACGACCAAAACACAAAGAAAATGTGACTCTACTGACTCACGTTTGTCATAAATGGTCTCTGCTGAACATTTTCCTCAATCATGTACTCGTTTCACAATTTTATTATTACTAAACACCAAAAAAACGTGAATGTCAGTGTTTTTTTTATTTTGAAATTCTCATCGATACAGTTTGTGGTTAAACATGCGCAAGGAAATCGAAACCCAAAGCTGGAAAAAAATGAGCCGTGAATTTGCCGCTTGGACTCGGAAGCGACGTCGTTTACCTTAAGACACGCAGGTCTGATCTGTGGAGAGGCGTGCCCCCTCACCGCGAAGAATAAAATGTTCTTTGAGGTGTTTTTGAGCCGTAAAAACGCCTTTTAGTCAAGCAGGTGGCCGATCTTCCACCAGAAACTTTACACAGCGCACCTTAGACCCGTAGACCAATAAAAGGACAACGGTGTTTTCACGTTTAAATCTCCGTCTCCGAATGAACAAATCCTCGTAAACTCTTGTCGTATCCCCCGCCCCTCCCCTTTTTATCAAATCGTATTCTGATCGACGCAAACGAGACAAACTAATGTAACTCTTTCCCGGCTTTCCGTGTCTTTCGCGCCGTCTTTTGCTCCAACGTCTGTAGATAAAGCTTTGAGTAGACGCCGTGTTTTCCGAAGTCTTTCTTACTGAATGTAATCTGAGCCTCTGCGGTCTCTGTGTGCACGTCTGCCCCCCCCCCCCCGTCCTTCGTCCTTCGTCCGTACACGACCGTTTGCGAATCTCTAAGCGGCCGTTTTTCCGTTTTCATCACTCTCGCTTTTTTGGAAATCTTACTTTTGAATCGTTTTTACTCCACTTCAGTTTACTTGTCTTATTTTATCGGCCAAAGCTGCAACCCGAAAATCTGAAAGCAGGTTTAAAATAATTCTTTTTTTTATTATTATTATTATTATTATTATTACTTCGTCGTCATGAAAATCTTCTGGGCTTGTGTCTATCGTCGTATTTTTAGCCCGATTTTTTTTTTTTTACGTTTACGTATTCACCAAGTTCTATCTTCGGCAAAGCCTCATAACTTTACGAACATTTGACGCATTAAAGTCCATTTTTTGATGCTACCTCAGCGCAGTGTCAGGTGCTACCCAAGCTCAGCCCGGTTTTTAACTTCGTACTACAAAAAAAAATCTACCAAAACTTTACAATATAGGCACCTTTTCCGATCTGTCGACAAATACACGAGGCTTTGCTAGTGGATCTGCTCGCTGTGGTTACATTTTAGGGACCAAATATCGACATTTTTCTATTTTTTTCGTTTTAAAATTTCTGTTCCGAGCACAATCACGTCGAGGTCAACGCTGTCTGTGCCATCGTTTTATCGTCATTCAGCAATAACGTGCGTGTTGCGATGTAAAGTTTAGGCGTTTTTAGTCTCGCAAAAAAAATAAAAAATTCCGAATCAGTTTTTTTTTTTTTTTTTTTATGTTCTCGTGTTTTAAATTCACGACGCTTTTTTTTTTGTCCGACCATCACCGCTATGTTTTAAAAAATGGATGAAATGAGTTACAAAAGGTTTCTATGGTTACGCTGGTTCTCAAACGGCGACGCGTGGGGAGTTTCGTTTAAGATTCGAAGACGTTTTAGATTCGGAAATGGCAGAAATTTCGATCCCGACACGGCCGAGAACCGCTTTCACACGTCCGGGAACGTTTTCAGTTTTAATTTCAGTTTGATTTCCGGCACAAAAATAGCCTTAAGTCGTCAAACACGCAAATATATTTCTAATTTTTTAACATTTTAAGAGCCATCATGTTTGATTTTATACCGATTTCCCCCTAAATCATGAATGCAATAACCTCTGAACCTTGAATCCGTTTCGGCAGCGCTTCTTTTTTTTTTTTTTTTTTGTATGTCGTTTTTGTTTTTCGCTCGTGATAATTGACAAAAGGGAATGGTCGCGCGTTTTATCCCGAGCATTGTACAGCAGGAGGTCCAGATGTGGCAGATGTCTGTAGTGGTCCGCGTGCCTTGTCAGTCCCCTCGGCTCCTCCCGTCCCGTTTCCCCGTTTCCCCCGTCCCCCTTCGGCTTCGGTTCCCCTTTAACTCTGGTCCCCGCCCGGTCGGATCTGCCACGCCGTCGAGAAAATAAAGCCAGTTTCGTAAAGACCATGCAACCCCGCGTGTAGATGCTGCAAAGAACCATCAGTATTTTTGTTTTGCACTTTCGAAAGCAGACTCAAATCATGTCTACCCATTTTGAATTTGGGTAAAAAGAAAAAAAAAAAATAATGAACTGACGAGGTATTTTTCTTCTATCAATAGGACTTGTACGGAATATTATGAGTTTTGAAGAGCTTTTCTAAAAGTTGGATTATATCTATATATTCATAAGTACCTCATAAGCCTGATATATGCTGCAATCACTTGTTTCTTTTGTATCTTCATTTTGTCCAAGTCTGATTTTGGAATGGAGGGTTCGGGGCATCCGCGGCCGCTCTCGCAATTTTTATTTATTATTATTATTCGTGGCCAAAAAAACGCGCAAAAAAATATTTATGCAATTTTTACGGAGCGAATGAATTTTTTGCAAATTAAAGAAAATGAAATATCAATTTTTCTTTTTTTTTTTTTTTTTTTTTTAATCATGTGAATATGCAAAATCTGAATATTTATTTTCAAAAATTTGTAAAAAAAAAAATTCTTGCTTCAGTCAGTTTTTACTTGTCTTACTTCAATGGCCAAAGCCGCAACCAGAAAATCTGAAAGCGGAATTTAAAAAAACATAAAAATTCTCTGGGCTTTTTTTCTCTCATATTTTTAGCCCGATTTTTACATTTACATAATCAAAATTCTTTCTTTCAAAAAGCCAAATAACGGGACTTTATTTTCGAAAATGTTAAACGAGGAAAATTGGGAATAATATTTGCAAAAAAAAGTGATTTTTCTACAACTTTTGATCTCACTCGGTAGTTTTTTGTATTTTTTATTTTTTTTTCTCAGAATTTCAGGCCCGATCGCAGTGTTTAATTTTTAATTATTATTTTTTTAAACGTGCGAATCGAAACCGGGCCGTTCCAGACTGGACTGACTCAGACGTGACTCTAAAGGGCTGCTCCCTCCAAAGCCACTGCCCGCTGCACCTTTGTCTTAACGAAAGATTTGGCCTTAAAAAAAAAAACACTACAAACCACCACACTTTTTTTTTTTTTTTTTTTTTGCTTAGATTGTCTCTCTGAAGTTCAATATTTCCTTTTCGTCACGTGATCTACCTCCAGAATGTAGGAGCAGACCTGGACCCTGCTCCACCGACAATCACCAGATTTACCACGATTAAAAAGGTCAATTATTGTACATTTATCAAATTTACTCCAAGAAATGTATTAAGTTGCGTTGCGAGGTAAGAAAAAGACCATTTATAACCTCAAAACCTTTTTCAGCAACGCTTCAGAATGTTACTAATCAAATGTTTATTTTATTTTATTTTGATTTATTTATCTAGAATGTGTTTTTCTTTTAAAATCTCTTCACAAAGTTCAGAATTTATTTTATTTTTTTTTTAATTCATGGATTCCAAGTTCCTGTTTAACATTTTAAAACCTTTCACCGTTCGAAAAAGATATTAGACTAGTCAGTTTTAAATGAATCGCCATGGCAACGGTCCTAATTTTTCCAATTTTTAATCATTCTGAAACCTTTTTACAATCTTTGCTGCAATGTTTGACCTTTTTACACTCCATTAATTCATTCAAAAATATTCCAGGACTCTTGGTTTTTACCGGCCCTTTAAACGCATTTTCGTATTAATTTTTATTCCGAAGCCATTATGTAAAAAACCAGTGACCAAAGTCGACCAAAAGCTCGTCGCGGCGCCTCGAACCCTCCACGTAGTGATCTCTCTTTTTTCTTTTTTCTCTCTTCTCTCGCTTTCTTTTTCCTCTCCTCCGTTTTGAAAACCATGACATGCCAAAAGTGATGTTCATTCCTTTTCCGAGGCTTTGTTTCGCTCCCGATCCGACGCTCCGCTCCTCTTCCTGTTTGTAAGCGTACATTTCCTTTTTATTATTATTTGAAAATGTTTAGTCTCCATGTTATTGCGATTAAAATGCTTACAGAACACGAGATGCTGTAAAACCCCGTTAGGACATAATGTGAATACGTATCACTTCATAGTTCACTCTTTGGCTTGACTGTAAGTTGCGTTAATTAATAAAAATGTTGGAAAATGAGCTTCTGTTTCTGGGTTGTTGTTTTTTTTTAATTTTTATTATTTATTTATTATTAGAAAATCAGCAGAAGTTTAAAGTTCTGACATTCACAAAGCAGATGCATAGGTTCGTATTTGGTGACGGGTAAAACACAAAACAGGTGAGTGGACGAGCTCAAACGCAGCACCAAAGAAAAGGGGTTTGGCGAATTTAAAGGCGCATTGCGGAACTTTCCCGCTCGTTTCTATGGATTTACGCCATCGCTCTGCCTTAAAAGTTCCACAGTGTGACATTAAAATGGCTTTTAGAGCTCAGAAAAAACCTCGAAAGAACAAACACTCTGACCCAGATCTGACCTAAAACTTGGTCTCCGTGGAGATGGAAAGGTTTAATGCCGTACTGCGGAACATTCCAGACCAAGAAACGCACCAGGAAAGTTTCGCAATTCAGCTTTTAAGTTTGCCCAAAGGTCCAGACACTTCAAAATGAAAAGAAAATGTAAGAAGAAATACTCTAAAACTCTTGGGACAGTTCAGTATTTTACAATTCAACACAGAAGTAGGTCGTATTTTAAAAGTACTTTACCTTTACTTCTACTTTAGTAATGTTTGTGGAGTGAGTTTGAAGTGATAAAAACGTCATGAGACAATCTGAAATTATTCTGAACTTTTGTTTCTTGCAGCTCTTTCATATCGGATTTAGTTTGTCTAATTTTTGTGTCTCTTTGAAAACTTTTGTGCTTTAAAATTTTGTCCTCCTTATTTATAATTGGAAGTTACATCCACACAGTTATTCTAGTCGTTTTTTCACCTAAAATACCTGCTGATAATCTTCCAGACTCACTATTATTACAGTAAAGTAGGTTTTTTGTGGAGCTTTTCTAAAATACTTGAACTATCCCAGAGTCAAATCTACAGAATCTACTTTGGAGTAAGACTGAGGATGGGACGAGACACGAGACTGGGTCCACGAGAACGAGACAAAACGAGATTTTAACATCATTTCTAACCTATAAATTGTCCGATTTCGTTCCCAAATTGTCTTCAGACTTTGTATTTACTTCATTTCATATTTTTGTTGTCGTTCCAGCACAGTTTTTTGGAACCACAGCTTCTCAAAAGATGCAACCCACCAGCACTGAACGTTTTTGTTTTTTTTTGTCTAATCTAAATTTATTTTTCTCTTGTGGCACGAGGTCTTGTCCCATCCCGAAGTTCAACCAGGTTTTACCATCAGAAAATTGAGAGTTTTGACACATTTTACACTCAAATGAAAGCAGGAGATTTGTGTTTTGAACAGTTGTTTAAGTTTTTGTCTACACGTCCAGTGACAACTACAAAAAAAAAAAGAAAAACAAGGAAAAATCTGCGACACACAGGCGTCCGTCACTACGTTCACATGCACCCTGGATCTCAGTTTAACACATCGTATCGTCTTTTTCTAATTAAATATTTACGTTGCCTCAATCCCAAATGAAAAATGTGGAGATGATCCATTTGAAATATAGAAATTTGTCTATTTATATAATTATTTAAACAGAAAAGGATCACCCACGCTCACTTAGATGGATAAAGTTTAAGATTTAAAAGCTGTTTTTTTGAAGGAGCCGTCAGACGAACAGAGTTGGGAAGTTTATTTTACTTTTAGTCCTGGTTTAGTCCTGGTTTAGACCTGGTTTAGTCCTGGTTTAGTCCTGGTTTAGTCCTGGTTTAGTCCTGGTTTTAGTCCTGGTTTAGTCCAAAATGTGAAAACAGGAAAATCCCTCCATGTAATCCATTTATTCCAACAAAGTAACTGTAATCCAATTACCACTCACTGAAACAGTAACTGTAACTGAATACAGTTACTCATCATTTGTACTCTGATTACTCTGGTACAGGTAATCTGTTACTCCCCAACACTGCAGATGAACCCCAGAAGTTTGTGATTCCGTTTAGTTTTCTGGGCTGGAGGGACGTTAATCCAATTCTCCAGAAACTCGGTTCAACGGCTCTTGTCCAGGTTTATAATGGGACAAATCTCAGTCTGAGTTCTGCGCCCGTGAACGTCGTGACGGTTCAGTGTTAAAGTTCGTGACACTGGCGAGCGGCGTTTTTACAAACGAGACAAAACGTGAGACGATAGTGGAACATAACGTCTAAACAGAGTGACCAGACGTCCCCAAAAACTTCGATTTGTCAAGAAATGTCCTGATTTTTGACCAATTTGCTCCCTGCCAACAGTAAAAAGAGACGCACACTGACATTTGTTTTGGTAAAATACAGAAAAGCTGATTAAAAACAACCAAAACACAAAGAAAATTGAGTGTAGAACAGTTTTCCTTAATTTCGCACTCATTTTACAATTTTATTATTACCAACCACCAAAAAAAAACAAAAAACAAGAGTGTCCCAGCTTTTTTTAATTTTTATTTTGAAATCTTGAAATCTGGTCAGCCTACGTCTAAAGTCTCCTTAAAGACACCACGAAGCGAACACAGCGTGAATATCTAAAAATCTAACACAAAACTCTAACAAAACTCTAACAAAACTCTAACTCTATCCAAACCGAAACAATAAATAAAAGAAGAGACACGACCCACATGGACCCGTTTACTTCACTCAAACTCCAGTAGAAAGTTTCATAAAAAGTTATAAAATAAATAAGCGCTTTTTCCCTTTGAGTAGAAAACCTTTTGTGCCGCCAGAGGAATGTTTGCGTCCCGGTCGGGGGCCCCACAGAAGACTCAGGGGCCCCTGGATGGAGTTGGGAACCTTCCGTAGACCGAGTTGACCAAGCTCCTGGATGGTACTGGAGGGCCCCTGAGCGCACCGGGCTCCTAAATGTCTTTCTTTAAAGGGTCCAGGATTTAGTGGGGCCCCTGGATGATGTTGGGGGCCCCTCAGTAGACTCAGTTCACCACTCCGTTGATG